TTGCATTTGATCAATGGCTAAATAATGTTTATCATCTTTTCTTATGCTTGTTGAACTTCTGTATATCTTTTTTGGAGAGATTTCTATTCAAATCCTTTGCCCATTTTCAAGGCTGGTTGTCTATTATTGAACTGTAAGAATACTTTTATACTCTAGATGTAATTTCCTTATCAGATACATTATTTGGAAATTTTCCCTCCCATTCTGTCAGTCTTTTCATTTCCTTGTGTCCTTCGAAGAACAAAACTTTTTAATGTAAAAGTCCAATTTATTTATTTTTCCCCTTTGTTGTTTGTGTGTTTGGTGTCATATCTAAGAATCCTTTGCCAAGTCTAAAGTCACAAATATTTATTCCTATGTTTTTCACTAAGAGTTTTATAGTTTTACTTCTTACATTTAGGTCTTCAACCTATTTTGAGTTAATTTTGGTATATGGTGTAAGGTAGGAATCCAACTTCATTCTTTTCCCTATAGCTGTCCAATTGTACCAGCACCATCTGTTGAAGAGACTGTTCTTTCTCCAGTTAGTTATCTTGCTACCTTTGTTGAAAATCAATTTACCACAGATATGTAAGTTTATTTCTGGATTCTAACTTCTATTCCATTGATCAATATGTCTGTCCTTGTCCCACTACCATACCGACTTGATCACTGTTACTTTAGAGTAAGTTTTGAAATTGGAAAGTGTGACTCCTCTAACTTTGTTCTTCTTTTTCAGAATTGTTTTGGTTATTCTGGGTCCCTTGTGTTTCCATGTAAATTTTCAGTTCCTTCTTATCTCAAAAAGGAAAAACTATTCTAGTGGCAGTGGGTTGTAACATCTATAATTGGCTTTTAATTTTTTGCCTTCTTGAGGTTTAAAAGCAAAGAAATCTAAAATTTCTATAGTTCTGTGCCCTTGATATAGTAGGAATTTCCTGAAAACAAGCTTATCAAAGACTGAACATTCTTTAAATTCCCTCTTGCATGATTTATCTTCTCATTTCCCTAATGAGAGATCCTTTACAACTGTTCAGCTTGAGAAGCTTTGCCTGCTAAGAGTGGTCTCAGACACTTGGCCACATCTTCCTTAATTTCCAGCTTCCAGAGGTTGGCATTTGGTCAGAGAAACAGAGGCAACAAACAAGAATTAGACCAATTTCAATTCAGCACTCTGAAGGAAAAAAATAATTTTTAAAAAACATTCTCTGAAACCACTCTCTTATTTAAAATTCTTGATGCAGGCATCGCCTAATAAGAGGCTGTATGTACACTCCTTCCTCACCCCCACTGGGTAATGCAGTGGTCTCCAGAACCCGTGTAAAAACCTCTCAAACGAGCATGTTGGGAGGCTAGGAAAATGGTGTTGAAAGCAGTGGAAACCTGCAGAGAGAGGAGAGCCAAGGATGGAGAGCAGGAGCAGAAACCAATAGGAACAGAGAAGGGAAGAGAAGGAAGAGGGGAAGAGAAAGGGGAGCTGGGAAAGGGAGAGAGGCATATGGCAGGTATCAATTATTTACCATTCATGCACAATAAAAAAATGCACTTTAACTACAGGAAGAGCACCAAATCCACTCAATAACCATTTAAAAGCATATGGAAATAAAACACAGCCATTTAAAGGGCCGTAATGAATGTGTAGTGCTCTTTGTAATGCCCCTGAAAGAACACAAGTGTTAAGCCTTGGTAAATTACACTTAAAAGTAAATGTAACATAAAAACGAAATTAGGCATACAAATAATCTCACACTTAGGCATTTTTTAAAAGTCTCTTTCAAACAGTTAATTAGAAAAGCCTCTGAGGAGCATAACTTTTCTTCCCCCATATTCTTTTCCCTTAACAATAGAACCAAGCAAATGGCAGGAGAGAATAAACACAGATCTGGGACGCAGAGAAGGTCTGCATTGTGTCGTCTGCCCTGGAAAAGGGGGGAAAGGAAAAAAACTACACAGACAGCACTGTCGGAATTGTTTCCTTCACTTCTAGAGAACTGAATGAAACCCTTTAAACAAGGGTCACAGAAAATATGTAGATGGCATCATAGGCTCTGTTTCCCAATTGCACATTTTAATAGCTTCAATGTTCTCTTCAACATGCACTAGCCAATCAGAAAGTGCTATTAACCTCATGTGCCCATTCTCCATTAACATCTGCTGTACAATATAGTCATGTTTCCAGTAAACCAGGCACAGCATGTTTCAGCCTTAAAGGGGAGAGAATTGAAAAGAATTTTGCTCCAAGGGGGCTGTGGCCGTTAGATACCAGATTAAAGCAGGGGGCCGAGGTGGGGCGGGGGAAGCTGTATTCCAGCCTGCAAATTCCACTTAACAGTTTTAGTCACAAACAAGAGCTCTGCCATCAATCAATGAGCAGCACACTGCCTTTGTCACCTATCCAGCCAGTCCCCAGATCTCTTCTGTATTTGGGGCATAGTACACGATACCTATATGATTTCGTGAATGCTGCAACTTAGGTTCCCCGGGAAGTTGACTCTGAGACAGAGATCAGTGTGCAGGGCATTTTTAGCAAGTGCTAAAAATGGGATTCAGCACTTGGGGCAGGGAAGGGAAGGGAGTAACATTGGGCAGAGGGAGAAGCTGGGCTGCACTGCGATTTCAATGGACATCTCAGCCGACCCTCCGGGAGTTCTAAAGAGGAACTGACCTCCCGATGCTGTCGCAAATGGGGTGAGACAGCCAGGCCTCTGCACCTCTTCATCAGCTAGTCATTGGATACAGCTGCCCGGGACCTTGTGCAGGCCACTCTCCTCATCTGAGACAATGCCGGAAAGGGCGGACAGCTGCAAGCTGTCTGTCTGCAGCCCCCAGTGGCTGGGGGAGTGAGACCTAAGTCCTAAAGGAGGCTCTAAGCAGCACATCTCTCCACGACCCCCTCAGCGACCAGAGTCCATGGACCTTTTGGGGTTCATCAGGAGATATTTGTTGCATTGTTTTAATGGGCATGACACTAATCTATGATTACTGATCAATGTTTTCCAGCCAGTCTTCAAGCACAGAACACAAAGAATTTTGTACCCAGCGCCTCTCCTGCATTCCCCGCGAGGCAATACTGCATCAAGGACTCACCTGCCCATTCTACATATACAAAAACTGACAACGGCAAAATGCAATCAGCCAGTCTTTGACAGGCAAGCCCTCCAATATTTAAAAGAAAAAAAGGCATCTTGAGGAGATGATAGTAAACCTTGCTGAAAGAATAGGCAATCCATTGATGTAGGGTTAAAAACAGACATGAAAAGGGGAGATGTCGCCAATGAGAAATATCCTGGAGTTTAAAATCATTCCCCCTCCCTGGCTTCTTTCTATCCTTGCAGATGCTGGAGGGCAAGATTTAGTCCATCAATTATACTCTTGACCCCATTTTCTAAATTTCATTAAAAACATTTTTTCTTCTTTATCTGAAAATTTCTCTCTCAACTCTTGCAAAGACACTCCTGGGTCTGTGTTATTACCCAATAAGTAACCTGCTACTGTGCGCACTGACTGTAATCAAGCCCGCGCCGCCGTCCTAACAATGCACCTAAGTGTGCCACAGACCTCCAGCACTCACCCTGTTGTGTCGTTTCACTTAATTAATAAGCGGAACAAAGATTTCAGAAAAGGGAGAAATTTGATTACGCAGCACTGTAATGGCACTCGCGTCTGCTGTAAAGACTGAGTGGGGTCTGCCCCCTTAAAATCTCCATTTGCTCCACCATTGCACGGTGGAAATGTCAGCGTGACTCCCCCCCACGTTCCCTCCCAGCTGACCTTTAGCTACATCTCTCAGTAATACGAAGCCATTAGTCATGCCTGGGTCAGTGATGTGTCAATAACAGAATAATTATTGAAGAAAAGCTTAAGAGGAAGGACAGTGGCCTCAAATCAGAATTAGCTCAACCCAAACCACCACCAGGGCTGGCTGAATAAATGAATGCGTGTCTAATAAATGGCCCCTTTACATCTGGAGACCTAAAGACTGTTGATTCCATGAATCCAAGAGGTTATTTGTAGCTGCTAAACACCTTTTTAGACCGATAAGTGGCATGGCTTTTACTCCTGCTGACTGTAACCCACCCTTCTCCAGCAGAACAAATGTGTTGTAGTTAATGGCTCTGGCATTTTAAAAGGAAGTCAGTCAGCAGGGCTGTTTGGAACATCTGCAACTTTGCAGAATACTGTATGCAGAGAAGAAACTACCTTCACTCACAGGAGATATGATCTTGAGATCCTGAAATTAGGGATGTCTCCAAACCCTATGCTGGACCTATAATAGAAACCCAACAGCAGGGTGCTAATAAAGGAAATGAAGGACATCCAGAGAGGGAGGAACATAGTGCACTGATCTATGATCGTGCTACTGCGCTCCAGCCTGGCCAACAGAATGAGACCTTGTCTCTTAAAAAAAAAAATCAGACACACAAGAAATAGACACACACTCAAGGAGAACACATGTGAAGATTGGAACAATGCTGCCAGAAACCAAGCAGCTTCCAAAAGCTGAGAGAGAAGCCTGGAACAGGTCTTTCCCTAGTGCCTTCAAGGGGAGCATGGCCTTGCAGACAACCTTGATCTTGGATTTCTAGCTTCCAGATCTGTGAGACAATAACCTTCTGTTGTTTAAGCCACTCAGTTTGTACCACGCAATGCTTTGTTGCTTTGTTGTGCAGCCCTAGCAAACTAATACACTGGGATAATAACTTGCAGCCTTCAGGCCTTGTTTGGACTTCTCTCCTCATCTGTTACCTCTTCTGTCATGTTGGACAAGTTATTTAAACTCCTTGATCCTCTATTTCCTATAAAATGAGGACAATAATACATAGTGTGTCCATATCACAAATTTATTATTGGAATGAAAACTTTACATAAACCAAAGCACTATCCAAACTCTAACAGAGCCCAGGGAAGGAAAGAGAGCTTGGGCTAGGCTAGGAGATGTATTAGTACAAAAGCTCAATAGCAGTTTTTATAGTGTGACAGTCTTCATTAAGAGCAATATATGATATTTCTATAATGCTCACCTTTTTAAATGAGCAGGTATTTCTTCTATGTTCATTGTAACCAGAATAAATTCTGTGGTCTCTCAGGTCCAGTTGTTGCACAGAGCTGCATTTAAAAAAAAACAAAAAGTTCAGAAAACAAATGACTTATAAAAGCAATCTATTGATAGTACGTACCCTCGATATGATGTGGTGAAAGTACCATGTTACTTACCTCTGCGGTCTCATTCCCCGAGACCTATAACCTCACTTTAGTCTTAAGAAACACATCAGGCAAATTCCAGTAGGGAACATTGTACAAAACACCCGACCAGGACTCCTCAAAACTGCAGAGGTCATCAAGAACAAGCAAAGCCTGAGAAACTGCCACATCCGAAAGGAGTCTAAGGAGACACAACAACTAAACGTAATGCAGTATCCTGGTTGGCGTTCTGGAACAGCAGAAAGACATTATGTTAAAAAAAAACAAAACAAAACAAAACAAAACTAAGAAAATCTGATTAAACTGCGGGCTTTTTTAAAAACAGTGCTGGAATACAAACACCTTGGCTACATAAATTGCCTTTGCGTCACTCAACAATCATGCCCATCCCCTAGACAGCACACACCGCATCCGTTAGGTGTGGATTTAGCCAGCCCTTCCTCCCCCTCCCACCTGCCTGACACCCAGTGAATGTTACTTCCCATATGTGCACATTAGTGTTGATAAATTAGTACCAAATTAACGGTGAGTATGTGTGGTGATTGTTTTTCCATTCTTGTGATACTTCACTTAGAAGAATGGGCTCCAGCTCTATCCAGTATAATATGTTATGTAGTTCATGATTTTTTATGGCTGAGTAGTACTCCATGGTACATATACCACATTTTATTAATTCACTCAGGTATTGATGGGCACTTGGGTTGTTTCTACATCTTTGCAATTGTGAATTGTGCTGCTGCAGATGTCTTTTTAATAGAATGTCTTTTTTTCCTTTGGGTAGATACCAAGTAGTGAGATTTAGCTGTTCAACATCAACATACATCTTCTTCCCATGTATCTGCATTTTTAAAATATTGCTGCTTAATGCAATGTAACTACCCCTCATAGAATCAATAAAGTGTCCACCTTATCCCCCAAATGGAGGAAAGAGGCACCCAAAGACCCAAGGTCTCCTGAAGTCCTGCACCCAGTTCTGAGTGCAAGACCTCTGAGTGTCCAGTCTTACACCTGATAGTCTGTAGCCTGTAAGCCAAGGTGTTAAGCTAACCCCCACCAATTCACCCTATAAAAATAGAGAGGAAAATAAAAAAGGAAGAAGAAAGGGAGAAAATTAGTTAAAGTATAAAAATGTACATAATCCAGCCCAAATCACTCTAGCTGGTCATGAGTCAATAGGTGGGATTTATGAATCCCACAGCCATTCTAAGGTCCGTTTGTCTTCAGCCAGAACCATAATTTAATTAGTAACCAAGAATTAGGAGGGATCTGAGTTGTTGGTAGTCCTACCTATGTAGGATAATTGAGTCTTCCTTCAACTTCTGCCACTGGGCATCCATCCTCCTCCCTCTCACCGTGCAACAGGGATTCTAGTTCTCTTTCAGAGTTGGACCAGCCAACCCTGCAGCACCATAGCCCCATGTTGGCCTTTTCACTCAGTGGCATGAAGTGGTAATTGGAATATCCAGAGTGGAGCTGTTTTCATGAGAATATTGGTTTTCCGTGGCTGCTGTAGGAAATTACCACAAATGTGATAGCTTAAAACAATAGAAATGCCTTCTCTTGCAGTTTTAGAGACTGTGGAGGACTTCTCTGGAGGGGAAGTCTGAAATCAAGGTGTTGGCAAGGCCATGCTCTCTTCAGAAGTTCTAGGGGAATATCCTTCCTTGACTCTTTCAGCTTCCAGGGGTCCCAGGTGATGCTTGGCTTATGGCAGCATAGCCCCAGTCTCTGCCTCTGTCTTCACATAGCCTTTTCCCTGGGTGTCTCTGTGTCTCAAAACTCCTTCTCTTGTCTCTTACAAGGACACAAATCATCAGATTTAGGGTCTGTCCCAAATCCAGATGATCTCATCTTGAAATCCTTAATTATGTCTCAAAGACCCTACATTCAAACAAGACCACATTTACAAATACCAGAGGTTAAGACTTAGACCTATCGTTTGGGAGAGGGACACAGTTCAACTCACCACAATAAGTATCCACATAGGATACCCAAATTCTCTAACTCTGGGCTCATTCTGAGATTTCTAGCCATATACTCAGTCCCCAAACCTCAACAATCTCCCATTCTTGTTCTTGCCAAGTACCTGTCCAACCTGCCGGACAACTAGACCTGCCCAAGAATCAGGGTAGATCCTTATCTCAATGAGAGGTCGGGAGCTGGGAGCTGGAGGGAAGGTACACAGATCAGATCTTCACCTTGAATTGAAGAAGAGCCCTAAAAGGAGCTTGGTTGGTCTTGCTGCAGCTCCACATAGGTGGGACAACTAGTATCTCACATGTGATGCTATTCAATATGTCCTAACCTATTGCTAAATATTAATATGTGTACAATATTCATGTTTGCAATAATTATGTGCTGAAGAGATTATCTCATGGGAGATATAGAACTAGTATTCAACCATCTCAATGGAGTAGGATATCCTCTGAATATAATAAATATTTCTATTATTAACCATCCTGAAAAGAAGCTTATCTGCTGGCCTTAAGTGGTTGAGGCCTGGGTCTCTGGAAGGGAAACTTTTTGTTTTCAAATATATGCCATTTTATATTACATTGCATTGCCTCTCAAAATATCTGCAGAGAAGGAGAAATATTGGGACAAAATAGATGTTGGGACATATTGAAGTGTCACGTAATTATGCACTGAGAAAATATTTAACCACATATTCAGGTATTTTTCTTTTATTCTCACAGATTATTTGAATTTTAGAAAAATGAGATCCAGACTAGAACCGAGACCTTTTTGCTCCATTACTCCTAAATTGGGAAGACCTCACCATCCTCCCTCTTTGTATTTCTTTTTTCTTTACTGAGAAATTTGTCACTCATGCTGTTTCTCTGACAATCAATTCATTGATCTTCACCATTCCACTCCAGGAATATTTGAAATGCAAATAAGGTCACAGGTCTCTTTTCCATTAAAAAAGGGTCATTCAGAAACAGTAAAATAGTGCAGTTCTATAAATCCCCCATCTTTCTAATATGTGTACATACCAATCTTTCTTTTTCTTTAATTTTTTCCCCTCTTTGTCAAAGCAGAAAAATAAACTGCTAGCAAAAGCATACACTAGTTAATCTCCCGAAACACAGGAAATCACTATATTGGAAGAATCTTTATTCATTTGACAGAAAACCCTCAATTTCATAGACACTAAACATCAGCAGACTTAGCAAAGCTCTTTGTATCTATCTTCTACTCATGCATCATTCATGGAAAAGGTGACCTGGGTCCCATTAGTTGACTAGCTGATCTGAATCTTTTGGGTTACTCAGATAAGTCATTTCTAGTAGTCCTCCTTTTAAAATTAATGGAATAGAACAGAATACATGCTACTTAAAAGAATACCCTGCTGGGAATTCATCACTAAAGTGAGGCTAATTCTTTTCTGTATTTCGCCTTTCTTTCACACTCTTATTTTTGCTTTCATTCCAAAGAACTGTATTTCTGAATTTATTTTAGATCCAGGAGTACAGAAGATCAATGTCAAGGCCCCAGCTGGGACTCAACATACATGAATTTGAATCAGTAATCACCCTGCAGTACAAAGCCTCCTTCTCTCAAAGTGCTGTCTTTCTGCTCAAGGCGTTTGGTGAAGCCCCACGAGAACAATGACCCAGTCACTCCTTAGAAACCCTGTTGATCAGAGACTCATAGTCAAGGCTTTCCCTATAACACCCTACAGATCAGAGCAATTACTCATTTCCTTATTTGCCGTGCAATTAGGACTAACCTCAAGTGTGCTTATGGCTTAAAATATATATATATGGAGATATATGTATATATATTTATTATATATTTATATATAATATATATATTAGGAGATTTAAATAAATGGTCAATATCTTGTTTTAAAATCCTTCAATGGCGCCCCATAAATTTCAATTCAGAGTTCAAATTATGAAGCTTAACACACAATGTCTCTGGGGGTTGCCCTCTGTCTACCTTCCTCCCATCATCGCCCACCTCTTCCACATGTACCTTTTATTGCCACCGTCTTGAGCTGCTTGATGCTTGCATTGCTTCTGCATTTGTGATGCCTGGGATGCCCTCACCCCCTCCATCTCTAGCTAACTCTTTCTTATTCATTCCCCAACATCAGTCCAAGCCTTATGGCCCCAGGAATCCTTCCAAAACACTCATTCTGATGTTGATATTCCTTCTCTTTGTTTTCAATTGCCTTCTACCTACCTCTAAAATATCCCGCTGGTGTGCAGTAAATGCTAGCTCACTCACCTGTCCACCGTGCTAGTTCAGAGCTGCTTCTTTCAATCTTCAATTAAAGAATAACGTTTTGCCAATCTGAATCTAAGTGTTAAAGAAATGGCCATTGAGACCCTCTCCTATCTTAAAAGCGGATGGCCAACCTGACCAAGAATTGATGTTGCATTTATCAATATCTTCAATAAAAGGATTTTTAAAAATTAACTATGGGATTTATCATATGGTCTGGGCCTAAAGATAACATGAATTATTTAATTAAATTTCTTATATGTAAAAGTTATTTTAATGTCTTTTTATATTTGGGGTAAATTTTCCCCACATATATTCTTTTAAATCACTATTGAAGGCCTGAGAAGCTGCTTTCAGCTGCTGTCTTATGATTTGACCACTTCAACCAAGAACAAAAACACTACCCTACTGAGGAGTTATTTCAGTGCCTTGTGTTTCGTGCTGTAATGTCTTTCTTAACGTCTCTTGACACAAGAGTTTTTGCCTTGCGTTCGGCCCCCTCTATCACAGTAACTTTTTCTACCTCTGCATTGATTTCCTGCTCAATTTCTCTGTTACTCAAAACTCAGTTGCAAGTGTCAGTAAGCACAGGTCAAACCATCTTAACAGACAAACTAAAAAAGAGACAGGAGTGATTGTCCTGGGACATGTAACAGAAGTTCAGGGCACAGCTAGATCCTGAGGTTGAAATGATATGACCAGGAATTGCCTCTCTTCCTCTCTGCTGGTTTTGTTCTCAGATAGGCTCTGTCCAAGGATTGGAGATGGCCCGGTCCTGGGCTCAAGCCTTGCATTGCCCTTGCGGCTGGCAAGCTCCATAATAAACTGCTGCTTTCCTGAGAATTGAAGTGTAAGTGCCAAGGGGAATCTCATTGGCCCAGCTTGACTCACATGCCCGTCCCTAAACCAATCACTGTGGCCCACAAAATGCATTATTCTGATTGGCTAGGGAGGGTCAAGTGTCAAGACCTGGAGTGAGAGTCAGTCAGTCCCATTCAAAGAACAGGGACAAGAATCCCCACAAGACAAAGAAATTCTATTACTAGTAAAGGGGAGAAAGGAAAAGCATGCTGGACAGACCAAAAGGAGAGACAGATCCTGCGTTTCCCCTCCCCAGCAGTGTTTTGAGAAACATACGGGAAGAACATTCCTTTGTACCCTCCAAACATTTCTCCTGGGGAGCTCCTGATAACACAAGAGTCAGCCCTTTATCGCCACGGGTCCCACATTTTTGATGCAGGTCAAAACCATTCAGGAAAAAAAAATGTAGGAATTTCTTCTCATTATTCCCCTAAACAATAGACTATAACAACAATTTACATAAAATTTACATCGTACTAGATATTATAAGTAGTCTAGAGATGATTTAAAGTATTCGGGAGGATGTCCTAGGTTATATGCAAATACTACACCATTTTATATAAGGGATTCGAGTATGGGGGCGGTTCCTGGAACCAGTACCCCATGGATACTATCATATGGTATGCCTATATATCAGTCAAGGTTCTACCAAAGAAACAGAACCAACATGTGAAGATTATATAAATACATATATAAACACATATGTGAGTATATATACATATATATCACATACACACATACATATACTATATATGCACATAAATATGCATACACACAAATACACACACACAGATTTATTTAAGGAATTGGCATATGTGGTTGTGGAGACTGGTGAGTCTGAAATCTGCAGGGCAGGCCAGCAGGCTGGGACTCTCAGGCAGGAGCTGATGCTGCAATCGTATCTTCTTCCTCAGGAAACCTCAGTGTTGCTCTTAAGGCCTTTCAACTGATTAGATGGAGCCCACCCAGTTTATTGAAAATGATCTCCTTAACGTCAATTGATAAAATAGATATTAGCCACATCTACAAAAGACCTTCACAGCAACACTTAGATTAGCATTTAATTGAATAACTGGTACCAGCTCCTAGCCAAGCTGATATAGAAAACTAACCATCACAGGGCGTTAGGATGAAACCTGGCCATCTTTGAGCCCAGTCAAAGCAGAATTTCATTGAAGTCTTGTTTTTAATCTTAAAACCTTTTGCATTGTTAACATTTTAGTATACAGTGTATCCATATTTATTCTTATACATAAATAATATGGAGGTTTCACCTGCAAAAAATCTTTGGATAAAAGTGGTGTTTTCAGGAAGATAATTCACGCTTGATAGGTCTCCTGACCCTCTGCCTTTTGATTTCCAAAAAGGTTACCTAGTCCAGTCAAGAAGACAATTTTTGTGTCCCAGCCATATCTCCTCAGCTGCCTCAAGTTCCTGCTGCAGCTGGGGCAGACAGTTCCAGTGCAAGATGCTACAGCTCAGTAGCATCTCTCCAATTTTCTGTCTTGGCCAACAATTCTCTCTGTGCCTGAGCAGCAGGGCAGTCTGCAAGGGCAGGACAATACACTCTCTTCCAAAGGAGATGTCCTTAGCGCAATTCGGAAACACAGTCTGCAAGTTCCTCAGAGGGTCTCCCACGGTTGCCCACAGTGTTAGACAGCTCAGGAATGCTCTTTTACTGGGCCTTTCCTCCATTCCTGTCTTGCTCCTCATGCCCTCACTTCTGGTTCCTGAAATTATCGCCCAGATAAAATTACCTGTGCTCACCTCTTAGTCTCAGCTTCTGCTTTCAGGGGAAGCCCAGATAAAGGTAAGAGGCATATGCTATTTATATCATTTGAGCCTTTAAGGCAGTGGGATTACAGGAATTTAAAAATCTTCCCAAAAAACTGACAGGGAGATCACAGCCAAGTTACAGCTCCTCGTGCAGAATCACTATTGCAGTTCATATAAACAGAAACCCCAAAGTCAAGTTTGATGGCTTCAGCGTTTCTTTGAGATATTGAATGATAAATAAACCTTTACTCATACCGCAATTCTTCTCAAGCTGATACTGTTGCCCCACCTCCAACCTACCTACCTACCCTACCCCACACTTATGCTGTCACTGTATCCACCTATCAAATTGCCAACCATTCCTGACTTTGTCCTCTGCCTTATAGTTCCTGATCTATTGGGGAAGATAAGCCCAGCAGACAGTGAGCTGTAGGAGAGCAGGGACTGGGTCCCATTCTCCTTTATCTCCCCTTTACCCAAATTCTTCTCTCCCTGACACGGCCAAGAGTCTAATGCCATACACATAGTAAATACTCATTAAATATGTGTGGAATATATAAGTGAAAAATTGCATTTTAAGTATCTCACTTGCTCCATTCTATGATTGCTATTTTTCTCTTTATATACCTTGTACCCCAAAGGGTCACAGAATACTGAACAAAATACTTTGAACAATGCAAAATATCCAGCAATCTATTAAATAATATTTCCATCTATAATCATGCAGGTATTGCAGCAATTCAGATGCTCAGTATTATGGTCATGATTCCCACTTGCAATAAATTTTATAATTTTAATTAACTTGCAGACTTCTTGTATGGCATTGTGCTAAGTGCTTCTGAATATTTTTATCAGGAGACTGACAGGATGAGAATGGAAGACTAATTTCATCACTATGGCATATAGGATAGATTGTGGAGTATAATGTCTTAAGGCCAGGAGACTTTAGAATTTTTATAATAGTCCAGAAATGAAGGAGGATGGTGGCAATAAAATTGGAAAGGGAGGGTGGATTAAAAGACGTTGCAATAAGAGACATGAGAAGACACAGCTTAATCAGTTGCTATGAGGGAAAAAATGCCACTTTTGAGACTGGGTGAATGAGAGAATGATACCTTAACATGGCTGGAGAAGGAGCAAGGCCAAAAGGTATTTTGATGAGTGAGTGTTACATTCAATACATCTGAAGTGATGGAAACGCTCAAATTGGCTAAGTCCATGCTGCAGTTGAAAATGTGGTAATGACACTCAAGAGTCATGACTTAGAGACTCAGATTTAGACATTGCAGCTTCATCAGCATCAGAAAAATCTCATTACCTTCCAATCCTGGGCTGTGTGTCTATGTGTGTCTATGTGCTTAGATGGGCCATCTCCAGAGCATCTCCCAAAGAGAAAGTTCCTTCAGCCTATGTTCTTCTGACTTCTACTTGAGTGACTTTTTACTTTCATAATCTGAAAAAGGTAAAAAAAAAAAAAAATCTGATAGAGAGTAGCTATTCTCTTCAAAACAACCATGCCTTTTCAGTTACTACAGGTTTTCATCCCCTGATTGCTAGAGGCGTACTGCATCAGCACACTTATACTATTCATGCACGATGTTCATCTGCATTCTAGCTTGAAAGGGTTTGTTAAGTTGGGTCAATAGATATTTACCAAGCACATAATATGGTCCAAGAAGCATTCACATAAAGGAAATAAAGATGATTAAGATGTATTCTCTGCCCTGCAGGAACTACGAATCTGTTCAGAAGACGTATAAACAAGTAGGCAAGGACAGTATGTGGGATAAAGGAGGAAGAGATCTGCTCTGTTTCTAGGATTCATGGAAGGCTTACAGAAAAGAGTTGCCTGGAAGGACACTTTGCAGACCACCAGGTGGAGAACATGAGAAGAAACAGGTCTTCCAGGCAGGAGGAAGATTACATGGGAGCACAAGGGACGTGTACAGCATGGTCCATTCAAGGAACTGAAAGAGACTCAGTTAGAGGTCAGCTGGTGCATAGGACATGAGGAAGCAAATGGCTGGAAATGAGACTTAAGAAAAAGGACCAGAAGATTGTAGGCCTTATGTAGTGGAGTTTTTGAATTGCAGGCCACCAACCATAATGTTGAAGCCCATCACAAATAAATCTCCTATCACTCAACATGATATAAGCTTGGAGCATTAAAGACTATTCCCAATTACTGAAGGTTTTTTCAAACTTTCAGGCCACAAGCCACACCCTCACTGTAATTTTCTTGTTTATCTAATCTGCTTTTCCTCTCAAGCAAGACTTCATTAGTTCTCATTCTATCTATACTATACCCTTTAGACTCCTATTATATGTTAGAAGTGTTTAGTTTCAAATAACAGAAACCTAGTCAGACAAGCTTAAACCAAAAAATTGAGTTTATCATAAAGATACAAGAATACCTTACAGAAATTCAAGGCAGAAATGAAGCTTGGCCTCCCAAAAGAGAGTGGATCCTGGAACCAGAAAAACATCCAGGTGGATCTCTTTGTCTCTCATCTCTTCTTACATCTATATGTTGCAGAGAGCAAAGACTAAAGCTAAACAGGTATGCTCCACCTCTTTGGTGCACGTGGCAGAGAAGAAACCCCCACCACACAGCAAGGAAGTTTCCAATGGTCCAGTTCCCCCATAAGAATCTGAGTATTCCTGTCATTCTCAATTCTAGATCTACAGGAAAGGGACTCTGGTCCAGCTTGGCTTAAGTCCTTTGGAACAATCCACATGACCAGGAAACAGTCACTTTATTAGGAATGCTACCATGAGGCCAGCCACTGTGGATGGTTGGGCCAGTTGAGAGGTTCATTTTAAGCATGGCAAATCCTCTAAGGAGGTAGCCACAATAGGTCACAATCCCAATAGCACCATCGCCTGAACAACTAATTCAGGGAGAATTCCTCAGACTTCCCCCCACAGATCTTTGACTGGCCTTCTCCTAGTTCCGGGGAATGTCCTAATTTTCCTGAGCTAGACCTCCCAGATCAATCACCATACAAATATTCCCTCTCTAGCCTTCAACCTGGTTTCTCCACCTAACTCTGATCTTTAAACTAGGCCCTTAAACTCCCACCCTATACTTCACTCACCCACCTTTTCCAGCACAGAATTCTCATTCTCCTATCATGGATCCACCCAACCCAGCTGGTTGGTATCTTTCATCCTAGACAACACATTATGATGTCATAGAAAGCCTCATTTAAATCTCTTGCAATTCATTTACCCATCAATTCCACTGATCCCTAACAGCCTTATAAATCTCAAGTTAACAAAAATTTGGGGGGAAAGGGTTATTTTACAGCAGACTGCAGGCATTTATTGCTTTGCATGGTTCTAGGCTAACTGAATTGTGTGCATATCAGGAATGCGTCCTCTCTTTTGCACAGTTCCATGGTAACAATCTTGGCTACCACTGAACCATGTAAACCAATGACACGGTTCTGATATGTACACAACTCAGTTAACATGGTACTATGCAAAGCAAGAACTGCCTGCATTCTAAGTTAATTAATGAACTAATAGGCAAAAGATTATCCCATATAGTCACACATCCAACACTCCAAGAGTTCCCTTATTCTGTTCAACTTCCTCCTCAAATCTTATAGCTTTTTTCAGCATCAGAAATTAGAGAAGTTGGTGGGTGGCAAGGCCGGGATGTTTCTTAGGTTACCTTTCTTGCTCACTTATCCTGTCAATTTTCATTGTTATCCTTTTATTGTCATCAAGTTTATGGGGGAAAGGATGGCATCATATTAAGGCATAATTAGGATAATAAACGGGAGCTGTGGTTTGTTTTTGGACTGACTCCAGTTGGGTAGCACACATAATCACCTCTAGCCGACTACTTGATGATTATGACTTTGACAAAGTGGCTTTATTTACTGCTAATGGATGAGATGATGATTTATTACTAATTACTCTCTTTTTCCACAATTTTTATATTATGTTAAATGAAGGATTACAGTTGGGGTAATAAATATTCACTAGAAGAAAAAAAATGTCTAGCAACAGAGAGTTCATGAAAGTAGACCCTGAAGAGAGAAGCCATTTTCATACTCAGGATCAGGTTTTAGAGAAAACTGTGGGCTGAACAGTTTCTCACCAGCCCTCTCTCCCGACTCTCCTGGGAGCTGCTCTTTCCTGCTGCCAGGAGACTCCACCCCTCTCACCCACCTACCTACCCTTTGTTTCATTCTTCTCTCTCCTGATAAGACATTGGTAAAAACTCAAGTGAAAAAGCTTAAGTTAACACAACACTGTTACCCCCCTCCCCCCTCCCCAGGGTCATTTTGGAGTTCAAGAATCTTCTGGGAAAAAAGAGAAGAAAACAAAAAGCTTTCTAGATGGGAACTGAAGATAGGGTTAAGATCTATTCCTTTCCAGAAACCTGAGTGTATGCAGGAAGAGTTGAAGTGACAGAGGTGAACGCAATTAAATGTAAATGATGGACCCTAACTCCCACAAATAGTGAGTGGCAAGGCCTCTGGGGGAAGATGGGAGTTACATTAACCAGGTAATCACGTCCTTTTGGAAGAGGGACAGATGCAGACCAGGGTGGTCCTAACTGGAGTGGAGCTGATACAACTGGACGAGCTGATACAAAAAGTGAAAGAGCACACATGCTGATATTGGGTGCAGAATAAGAGTGTGGATAAAGAACACAGTCATCAGCAAAGCCTTGGGTGCAAGGTTAGGACAGGGCATCAGAGATGAAGCAAAGATGCGTAAGGGATAAATTGAAAGCCCCTTGAAGCCTGGGGCCACCTTTGCATACTTCTTCATAATCCCCACAGTGCCGAGCACAGCGTCCAGCACACAGAGAATGCGCTGAAACTGTTGGCTGACTGATTATCAGCAGATAGATTAAAGTAGTGAGGAGCAATATTCTCTGCATGCAGATCAATTAATAACTAATTTTTTTAAGGTTTGCAGACCACATTTTTAAAAGTTGCTATATTTTTATTATCAGGAATTGCAATATCATCAACTTAAGCATTATTCTTTTATTCCCCTTTCACTAGAGGTTTTCATTGCAGGCTAAAATTTTATATACTTTATAATTAGCATACACAGCAGTATCTGATTTTAATGTTATACCCTTTATCAAATTTTATCATTGAGTAAGTTGCTTTTGAAGTTGGTTTATGTTATTTTTCCTTGACTGAATTTGTAGACCTCTTTATTGCAAAATGTAGTTTCTTTTATCATCTTTTAATATTAAACACTTTAGTTTGAATTCTATTTTCAGACTGTAAATCTGAAATAAATGAATTGCTTTATTAAGTAATGTAATGTAACATGAACTTAATAAGGTTTTAAATTTTATGGAATGTTTATTTGTCATTACTGGGCTGTCAGCATAAGGAACCACCCATCCCCACCCCAGTCCTTAGGATGCACCCAGAGAAGACAGTACTCCAGCAGTAGACACAGCACTGGACTCTTGCCAATATCCACATGATCAGTAAATCTGAAAAAGTGATGTGTGGCCTGGGTTCTGAAGGATGAATAGGAGTTCGCCAGGCAGGGAAGAGAAGGAAGCATATTCTAGACAGAGAAAACTACTTTTCAAGGCATAAATGCTTACAGAAGACAAGAGTGTTTGGAGGATGATGAAAAGGTCCATGTAACAAGAGTGTAGGGTGTGTGAAGGTAGAAAGGAAGAAAATTTGGCTAGTAAAGTTGTTTAGAGCTAAACTGTGCTAAGAAATTAGATGGGCAAATTTTAACCTATGGGCAAGTAAAGGCTCTAAGGTATAAGAAAGTAATATGATTATATATGTATTTTAGAAAACTAATACTGACACAGGGTAGAGGATAGAGTTGAAAGAGAAAGCCAGGTGCAGTGGTTCACACTGATAATCCCAGCACACTGGGAGGCTGAGGCAGGAGAAGGAGGCCAGGAGTTTGAGACCAGCCTAAGCAAGAGCGAGACCAGTCTCTATAAAAAATAGAAAAATTAGCTGGGCATGGTGGCATGCACGTGTAGTCTCATCTACTCAGGAGGCTATGATAGGAGTCCGGGAGTTTGAAGTTGGAGTGAGCTATGATGACACTGCTGCACTCTAGCTGGGTCAACAGAGCAAGATTCTATATCAGAAAAGAAAAAGAAAAAAGAAAAATAAAGAAAGAAAGAGAAAAGAGCTGAAGAAACCATCCTTTGGGAATTATCCTAATGAGAAAGCTAAGAGATATGGATCCAGAGACAAGTGGATGGCCTCTAGGATTAATTCAGTAGAATCGACACGACTTATAACCTACTAGGTATGTGAGCAGCAATGAAAGAGAGGACCCCAATTCTAATTTGACCCTGAGTATGTATGAAAAATTTGGTGTGAAATTTTTATGTATTTTTTTGAAACTTCAGGGTAAATCAAGTAAAGAAATACTTATATTCCACAAAGGAAGAGAAACTCACATTCTTTGAGTACCTACTAAATGCTG